AATTCCTATCACTTGGTGGCATCATAGGCCTTGTAGCCATTGTAACATCATAATGTCCTAGCACAATTACTTAATTTTTAGGTAAATTTGATGTAGCTTAAGTATATGGTTTTATACAGTAGTGTATGGTAATGTCCTGGGCCTTCACATTCACTCACCAGTCAGTCACTGACAACTAGGGCAACTTTCAGTCCTGCATCCTCCATTCATAGTAAGTCCACTATCCCAGTTACCATTTTTAATCTTTTGTACTGTATTTTTACTGGACTTTTTTTCTGTTTAGATATGTTCATGTGCAGAAATACTTACCACTGTGCCACAATTGTCTACAATTGCCACAATTACCTACAATTGCCACAACTGCCTACAGTCACCTACTGTGTCAGTACAGTAACATGCTGTAGAGGGTTGAAGCCTAGGAGTCATAGGGTCTACCACATTGCCTAGGTGTGTAGTAGACTGTATCACCTAGGTTTGTGTAAGTATACTCTGCCATGTTTGCACAGTGACACAATTGCCTAAGGACATAGTTCTCAGAATGTATTCCCAGTGTTATGTGATCATGGCTGTATATACACAATGGAATATGATTCAGCCTTTAAAGAGAAAGAAATCCTGTAGAATGCAATGACATAGACAAACCTTGAAAACATTATGCTAAGTGAAATAAGCTAGTCACAGAAGGACAAATACTGCATGTTCCACTTATAAAAGGTATTTGAAATAGCCAAACTCATGGAAGCAAATAATAATATCGTGGATTCCAGGGATTTGGGGTGGAGGAAACTGAGTTGCTAACCAACATGTATAAAATCTTAGTTATGCAAAATTAATACTTTCTGGAGATCTTCTGTACAATATTATTCCTATTGATAAAGTACTGTATTGTACACTTTAAAATCTGCTAAAAGAGAAAATCTCACATTAAGTATTTTTACAATAATACTTTTTAAAAAGCTGACATATTTAAAGGGAGAAATACATGGTTTCTCTAAAACTTCGAGATTTTAATATTATCTCTCAGCAATTAAAAGACCAGCTAGACAAAAAGAAATTAGTAAAGAAATACAGAACTTGAACAACATTATCAAGTACCTTGGCTAATATTTATAAAACTAAAGGAGAAACATCTGTGTTCCGAATTTAGATAATAAAATTATTTAAAAATTACAGGATTTTATTTATTTATTTTTTACTTTTCTATTTGTTCATGTTTTCTTAAAATTTTACTTTAAGTTTCAGGATACATGTGCAGAATGTGCAGATTTGTTATATAGGTATACATTTCCCATGGTGGTTTGCTGCACTTATCAATCTGTCATCTAGGTTTTAAGTCCCACATCCATTAGGTACTTATCCTAATGCTCTCCTTCCCCTTGCCCCCCACACCCCGACAGGCTCTTGTATATGTTGTTCCCCTCCCTGTGTCCATGTGTTCTCATTGTTCAACTCCCACTTATGAGTGAGAATATGTGGCGCTTGGTTTTCTGTTCCTGTGTTAGTTTGCTGAGGATGATTGGCTTTCAGCTTCAACCATGTGCCTGCAAAGGACATGAATTCACTTTTTTATGGCTGCATAGTATTCCATGTGTATATATACCACGTTTTCTTTATCCAGCCTATCATTGATGGGCATTTGGGTTGGTTCCAAGTCTTTGCTATTGTGAATAGTGCTGCAGTAAACATATGTGTGCCTGCGTCTTTATAGTAGAATGGTTTATATTTCTTTGGGTATATACCAAAGGGATATACTGTTAAGTGGCTTTCTTAACAGTAATGGGATTTCCAGGTCAAATGGCATTTCCGGTTCTAGACCCTTGAGGAATCGTCACACTGTCTTTCACAATGGTTGAACTAATTGACATTGCCATCAACAGTGTAAAAGCATTCCTATTTCTCCACAGTCCCGTCAGAATCTATTGTTTCTTGACTTTTTAAAATAATCACCATTCTGACTGGTGTGAGATATTATCTCACTGTGGTTTTGATTTGCATTTCTCTAATGATCAGTGATGATGAGCTTTTCATATGTTTGTTGGCCACATAGATGTCTTCCTTTGCCCACTTTTTCATGGGATTGTTTGTTTTTTTCTTGTAAATGTGTTTAAGTTCCTTGTAGATTCTGGATGTTAGACCTTTGTCTATTTGTAGACCGTAAAAATTTTCTCCCACTGTATAGCTTGTCTGTTCACTCTGATGCTAGTTTCTTTTGCTGTGCAGAAGCTCTTTAGTTTAATTAGATCTATTTGTCAATTTTGGCTTTTGTTGTAACTGCTTTTGTTGTTTTCATCATTCATTCCTTTTTTGAGACATTACTCAGTAAATGTCTGACTTCTACATATATAAAATGTACTTTGGTTCCCTTTTTATTTGTTGTTTCATATTAAGATGAAGACTAAATTTCCAAATTTTTGGTTCCTTATGTTCAGTGCTTCCTCTTCTTGTCTCCTACTTATTCTAACAAAGTATTTTTAAATATTTTGCAGTGTACTAAATTTTTTTCCATCCATGCGCGCGCGCGCACACACACACACACACTCATTTAATTGGTTAGAAGAAATATCAAAAAATAAATTTATTTTTCTTGATCATTTTCTGTTTATTTTCTGTCTATTGATTGATCTATCTATTATCTATCTATCATACTTATCTATCATCTATGTCATCTTAATGTGTTCATAATTTATATTGTGCTCTGGTGTTGCTCTCTTAACTGACAATGATTTGGCTTACCCAAGAGTATAGCCACTGATGGTTCTAACAACAAAAGTGAATCGTATTTTTTTGGCCAATTAGCAGTACACATACCCATTAGGGAGGCCAGCAGGTTTTATCCTCTAATCACATTGCCACTATTGGGTAAGTGCTGGGATTACACGCGTGAGCCATTGCCCTGGCCAGGGCCTTTAAATTATCTGAAAATTTGACATAATTCTTCATCAAACCAAAACAAAACATCATAAAATCAGTTGCTTCACAGTTCTAAAGGAACTCTTCATAAAAGTTATGATAATACCTTACTTTTATTTTACACTTCCGTAAGTGACTTACAGACACAATTTAACTCGTCTTTCTTAAAACCTCAAGGAGGTAGGTAGATATGTAATTGCATATCTTGAAACTCCTAGATGTTAAGGGATTTTCTTAAGGTTACACAGCAATCTCTTTGCAAGGTAGGATTGCATACTAGATCTTGAGATCCAGCTTTCAGAAAATTATGAAAACATTCCAATGTAATATTTGTTTGAAAATGTTTTAAAGCTTATTTCAAAATTATGTTGCCATAGAATAATACTTGTTTTATGAAAGTTTCTAACGCTGAAGAAACTTGAGAACCATCTAGTTTTTGAGGATTCCTATAATATGATACATGTGACATTCCTATTAGGGGAGTAGTAAAGTCACACTCTTAAGCACCGCATTATGATGTGTCTGCCTCACATAGAAACTGTATGTCACTGTAACAGGATTTCCCAAATTAGCACCATTGACATTTTGGACCAAATAATGCTTTGTTATGAGGAATTACTGCGCACATTGTAGGCTGTTTAGCACCATCCCTGGCCTCTAGCACCTAGATGCCAGTAACAACTCCCCAGTTATGACAAATAATACTTCCAAATATTGTCAAATCCCCTGGGGCAAAATCATTTCCTGCGGAGAATCACTATTATTATTTGACTGACTGCCCAAGTAAGTGAAACTGTGGAAAACTGGAGGTTCCTTTCCATGTTCTCAATAACTTGAGTATTGATTCACAAATTTGGAAGGATAAGGTTAGAATGAGGTTTCCAGAACCTCATTTGAATATAGAGTTAGTGAAAAAAAGCCCCTTTCCCTGACTTTTAGGTCAGAAAGTAATTTTGACAAAAGAGAAATTCTCTGTATAAAGACATAAAAAGTCTTCTTTGTGCCATGGGAATGGCTAACATGTCTGGAGATAGTAGAGCTACAATCAAGTAAGAGACTTTTAGAAGAGAAATCTTAGTTTTACAGATTTGGGCCAAACCAAAACTTGTTTGAAATAACTAATCCAGAGGAATTTTCATGACTTCTTATGGAGTAGCAATTCAGGAAATGAAAGTATTAACTAGTACTTTAATATTTGTTATACAAATGTGTTCATAATTAATACTGATAAAAATATTAGAAATTGATAAAAAGAAAAAAAATCTTTACCAAATAGGATTAAGAAACGATCTTCTGCTTCTGTCAGAATTTTACTGATTGTGTTGTTTAGGCTGTACTGAAATTTTGGTGCTACATTTTTGTTCTGCCCATGAATTTTTTCATTAGATCAAAACTTTCATTACTAACAGGACATGATTCCCAGCGTCTGCCATCAGTTGTTTAGCAATTGTAATAATGACATTAAGCTTCCTTCAATATTCTCTGCTAAATGCCTGTTTTCAGTAAGTCATTGCTCTAGAAATATCTATGTTCTGCATTTTAGTTCCTCCTTGACTTTGGGACGAACTTATAAACCTGCTCTTTTGACAGGAGGATTAACTGCTAGATTTAGGATTAATCTATAAATAAGGTCTTGATAATACTTTCTGGAAGTTATATATTAATAGTCTCATTTTACAGATGAGGAAGTTGAGACACTGAGATGTTAAATAACTTGCCCACGTTACAGATTAGGGACGTAGCAGAGATTCAAACTCAGGGCTGTCTGATGAGCAAGATTATGTTCCATCATACTGAAGTGCCTTCCTGTCTCCCATGAAAAGAGGTAGCAGTATTCTCACAGACTCTTAAGCAACTAATATATGGTATATGTGTATATTTATACATGTAATACACACACACATTTTTAGCTATGGTATAATTGGGGGTGGATGGGGAGTAGAGTAATGTTGAATATTGATACAAGAGAGAAAAGTCAGAAAAGAAAAAGATCCCAAGTATGAAATGATGTTTGGGAAGGGAGCCTATTTATTATTTTATTTATTATGCATCCATCTATTTGTTCAATCTTTTATTCATTCATTCAACAGGCACATATTAAGCCTAGAATGTACTAGCCAATGTGGTACTGGACTGACGTGGCTCTTGGATCTCATGGTGGGACGACATAGAATGGACTTATGAGAAAAGCCAGCTGGGGCTCCAGGAGTGACGCAGAGCAAAGAGAGGTATTACTATCTGTGGGGTAAAGGGAAAGATGCCAAAACCCTGATTGGAGTACCACTCAGGGAGAAAAAGGAGAGAAATCTGTACCTACTTTGTGGATGTGTCTGGGGATATTGTCTACATGAAATTGATTACTGCTCCCAGCTCAGCCTTTACAGCTCCATGACCTTACCAGTAGTTACAAGGGCATTAATATACTTGCAGCTACTTGCATACTTGCTTTCAGTCTAATATAGCTCTGATGTAGCAGGTATTTGTGGTATCAAGAGAACAATAAGAACATGACTAAGATTCAGTCAGAATCACCAGTTTACTTAATTGGCCCTCATTTTACATTATAAGTTCCCATATTGAGGCCAGTTCATACATCTTTATACAAAAATTTGAACTTAAAATTTAGCCTTTTGAGAAACATATAATTCATTTTAATCCAGAAATTTTTATTTTAGGGACTCCTAGACCAAATGGGAAAAAATTACAGCACAGTAAAACAATCTTTGAGCTGCATAATAAACATATGTAAGGCAATTTTATTGTAATTGAATATAAAATGGTTTGTGTGACTAACAGAAAAAGTTTTTCTAAATTTCCTTAATATTTTTTCTTTTTGGTTTATAAATACCATTAGTATCAAGTGACTGCAACTATATGGCTTAATCTGGCATGGGAATTCACAAGAAATAAAGTGCAACTAGTAATTCAAGTTATTTTCTCTACACAGTGGTAATGTCCATTAAATTACAAATAACTATTATGGAGTAGTGAGGGGGTTTGCAATGGAATTTAAAAGAGCTGTTGCACTCACGAGTATAATTTTATCCCTTGCAAATTATGGCATGTCTGTTTATAGTAATAAAGTATTATAGAGATCACTGAGTCATAGGTAGTTCACATGGGAAGATGCTATAGTTTTCTAACCTTTTCCCAGTTGATGTTACCATTGGAAGCCAGAGTTATAACATATCAGTGACAACACAGGGCCATGCTCCTCCTCCTACTCCTATGACTTCCTAAATCCATGTAACTGAGTCCGATTGCCAGATATGCAATTCTTATGCAGAATGAGCGCCCCGAGGTTTCAAACCCTCCACTGGTATCTCTTTGGCTATGCAACACCTCCTCAAACAAGCAATAGCATCAGAAAACCAGTTTGCTTTCCTTTGATGAAGGTGTTGGTTTTGTCTGTGCTTGAGCTTTTCAGGCCTAATTTTCCCTATAGGACCAGTGAATAACTCTGGATGGCAGATAAATCATAGAGTGGAGAGAAAGGAGTGGAAGGCTTCAATGATGATACTCTGTTTCCATCAATGACAGGTAAGCTTTTCAAACTGAAGCTGGTGAAAGACCTGAGTAAGTTTATTTGCAAGTCAAGCCTGTTTGAGGCATTCTGTTACTGGAATATTCCCAGATTTCACTGGTCTGTGGTTACAAATAAAGCTGAAATATTAATAATATTCCAGTCTTGATGGCTCACTAACTCCGACTGCAACAGAAGCTATCAGGCCCCTGCAAAATTCCCTCTCCCAAGACTTTTCAGTAGTCCCTGCAGTATGTTCCATATGAGCTCTCCTGCAGGGCACTACCTCCTTCCCACCAGGCCTCCACTGAGTACTTCTGTCTCTGCTGACCACCAGTGATGTATGTCTGTTGTCACAAGTAGTATCAGTTTCCTATTGCTACCATAACAAATTACCAAAAAATTTATGGTTTAAAATAATAGAAATTCATTATCTGATATTTCTGGAGGTCAGAAGTGTAAAATGGGTCTTATGGGGCTAAAATCAATATGTTGGCAGAGCTATATTCCTTCTAGGGGATTAAGGGGAGAATCTACTTCCTTGCCTTTTACAGCTTCTAGAGGTTGCCTGCATTTCTCAGCTCCGGACCCATCTTCCGTTTTCAAAGTGCATCACTCCAAGCTCTGCTTCCATTTCCCCATGACCACATCTTTTTCTGACTCTTAACACTTCATCCTCCTTCTTATAAGGGCTCTTATAGTTAAACTGGACCCTCTTGCAAAATCTTGGGTAATCTCCCCACCTCAAGATCCTGAGCTATTAATAAATCATACCTGCCAGGTCCCTTTACCATGTAAGGCAATATATTCACAGGTTCTGGGAATTAGGATGTGGAAATCTTTGGGGGGCCATTATTCGGCCCACCACAGAAGCTACCTGCCCAGACATGGATGCTGCCATTTATCTCCACCAATGCCCTAGAATTCTTACAATACAGGAGTGGTGCTGGGTGTAAAACAAAAAAGGGGGTGGGGAGAAACAGGCAACACCCCACTCTATGTCGTACCTCAGAAGCACATGCTTCAATATCCCTGTGAGAAAAGTTGTCCAGCTTCTACTTCTGTTCCTCGGTGAAGAGCTCTGGTGAAATTCATAGGCCTGGGCTGGGGTCATTCATCATGTGTTCTTCTCTATCCACTATACTTTATTCCTGCAAGTGAACATTCTCACATACAACTTCCCCCGGCAGACCTTCTAATGTGGAGAATTAACACATGTATGTGGAGCTTGGGCATAGTCAGCTCCTCAGTACCAACATGCCTAAATCTTAGCTTAGGCCTGTGTTCTCTTGATATAATTCATTAATTTGAGAATTCACTAATCCATCTTAATTCATTCCTGAAAAACTCACCACTAAATGAAAAGCCATTATATTGAAAATGTTGTCATTAAATTTAATGAGAAAAAGTACGACACATCCCATCTCAACCAGCCTCCTCCTAAGATATTGAAAGCATGCAATACTTGCACGTTCCTCTATGACATTCATATTAATACATTCACATTCCATTCATTCACAATATGTGTTAAGATGGACCTGCTGTGGGGTTAGAAGTTGGATGGATGAAGAAAGTCACTGCACAGGGTGGATAACATAATAAAGGTAATGTATTGAAAACAAGCATAGTTGACTCCAGCTTAAAAACATCTTTTGTTTTTATATTGATATAATAATTGATATAATAATTATGCACATTAGTGGTATAATCACTTTGGTAGATTCTCTGCTACCTCTGATAGAAGCACTTAATTAACATAATTCTAATCAGAATGTAGTATATAATGAAATCTGAACTACAAGGTAAAGTATCACTTTTTATATTTATTTAATGGGTTTTTTGATGAAACCAGCTATATCAAGATAAAAAAGAATTGTTGGAAAAGCGATAAAACTTTTCAAAAGACAATATTTACTTTTGCTACAGGAAGAAAGCCTATATTTATTAGACACTTATTTATGCCAAGCTCAGGGATTTTATGACAAAGAAACAATCCCCATAATGAGGAGGTTCGCTGCTTAATGGGAGAGGAAGTATTAACACTGCACAGAAACAAAGCAAACCATTAATATGGTTATCAGGGAATGAATTGCTGAGCAATTTATATTTTTTCATTCAATATATTGATTTAAAAATATCATACAGTGAACCTGCATAACTTCTGTAAGTAGAAACACTTGTAATTTATCTTTACATTATCTACTTAGTGTAAGTTAAGCTACAATTAAGCCACTGAGCACATCCAACACTCATCTCAAAACTATCTCTTATACCTTAGAATTGGCGTTATATAATTGTAAGCCACATATCTAATTTAAAGATGCTCTGTCATGCTTCCTCCAGCACAGGCCTGACTCTCCCAATCTTTAGGCTTTCTTGTAGGAGATATGATTCTAGTTGGCTCATGGGTTCTGACAAACTCCTTAGTATTCCCAAGGGAGTTACAGAATGTTTGAATTGGAAAGGGCCTCGGAGCTTAAAAGTAACTTATAATTACAACTGGGAAAATAGAGGCCTGGATCAATGATATGAGCTTGGCAGTAATGTGAATTATTGGCACCATGACCCTGGGCAGAAATTACTCATGTGCTTCTCTTAAATAAGGTGCCAGTTTGGGCTTCATAGGACCTACTACAAGAGATCCTAAGATGCCTAGCACCACTCAGCCTGGATCAGAATTAATTAACAGCCAAAATCCAATGACTTCTTCCTGCACTTTCCATATCTCTCAAACTCTGCTGCCAAGATCAGTTCCAGCATGTTGGAGAATATAATGTAAACCGTGGCACTACCCTCAAATTTGGCTCCTTTTCTGGCTTTCTGGGCAGGCCAGCCACCTTTAGAAGTGACCACATCTTTTTGATGTCTCATCAATCGGCAGTGTGATACTTGGTTGCTCAGTTGATATTTTCTCAGCACAGATCACTTTGGCCTGTGACTTAAAAGGTGGGCTCTGGCATATTATTCTTCATCTCTCTCCAGCCTGGACTTGCTTCTGGGCCTAGTCTGTCCTGGCTAGACAAAGATATTAGTGAAACAAACAAAAGAATTGCCCTCGAGCTGCCTTTTTCTCCTCAGCTCTGCTTATACTCCTCACCAAGTTGTTGAATTCCTCCTTGTCCCCTGTAACATTAGAGGTTGGGGTTGGAGTACTCTTTTTTCCATTGTGTGCAAAACTTCCAACTTTCTCCTTCGAAGTTAAGGGTGATAAGCAGAGCACTCCAAAACATTCTTTTAAAGATTTCATAGCTTAATCACTCAGAGATAAGTTTAAAGCTGAAAGAAAACTGTGTTAAAATTCCAGATCCCCCAGTTGCTTGCTATGTAGCTTTGTGACTTCAGCCAAAATTGAGTTTCTCCATCTGCGAAACAAAGATTATAATAGCACCAACTTACCGAGCAGAGACATTGAAATGATGCAGGTAAAACCCTTAGATGCAGTCCTGACATGCAGTAAGAACTCAACAGGCAGTAGCTTTGAGTATCCTTTCCTTCACTAACTCCCCAAACGCCACACTGGGACTCTCATTTATGGGATCTGTGTGCTGACATTCAATGTGCATACCCAGTTTGTGCCAAATTATATTGTAACTGATAATTAGATGCTGACATTTATGGTATCGTATCAGCACCCTTTTCTGGTTTTAAGATCTATTTTAATATTTTTGTTATTTGGGGTTATTTTTCTTAATTTTGCTGAGCTTCAAAGAGGTCAGTGATTTTAAAATAGGCATTCTCTCCATCATCTTTCTCAGAAGTACTGCCAAATTATTTTTCTATTTTGAATACACTATTCTGAATCTTTTCTCTGAACATGAGTGTCAAATTTGCTCTTAATAAAACATACTAAAAACTACATGATACTAAAAAACTAGGTGTAAAGAAAAAAATATAGAGTTTGTCACTTTATTTTATTTAAGATAGATGACCAAATTGATTTTTTAATTTTCTTTTTCCTTTTTAAATCTTGGAAATCCCACATAGGTCAAATCCCATGTTTTAAACATTTTTTTTTTTTCTTGACTTCCTGGCTGTAATGCAATGATTTGATTTCTGTTTAGCTGATATTTCTTTTATCAATTCTCGCATTGCTTCTCATGTGACAAAATAAAACTCTGATTCTTTTTTCCATTTTTGCAGAAAAGAAAATAACCACTTGGCCCCATTTCTAGTGGTTTTGCCTGTACCAGAATGTCCTAGAGAAATACAACCCGTTACAAACCTCAGAATGTTAGGGGAAGATGGATGGCCTGGAATATTTTGAACAATGTAAATTGAGCAGAGTATAGAATATCTGACATTTTAAGCTAAGCTCTACTTTCTGGAAAAAAAGGAAAATATGGCTAAAATATTTCAAAGTGCAAATCAGCCTTGATTCCTTCAAAATCATTCAAATAATTGTATGTGCTGATGAGAACAAGTTCTTTGCTTTTTAATGATGGTGTATATGAGTAATTCAGAGCCTTATTTCAAGATTACTGGTCAATCTATGCCTTTTACTGACATTAACCTTCCTGTAAAATGAGACCATTTAAGTTCACCTTTCAATTGACTGGCTGACATTGTAAGTCACCTATTCTGAGATTTAATCAAGTATAAACTGAAAGTCTTCTTTAGGTCATGTTACCTAGTCTAGTAAAATTTGTTTGAAACAAGGCCCTTAATGCTGATCATCGAGCTCACACTGCCCTGGGTTCATGATTTCCTTAACTCATTGCTTTCTGAAATCTTTATTTGCTTCAGTTTTCTTTGTTTCCGTTTTTCCCCATCACCCTGTGCAGGAAAGGTGAGCGCTAACTCTATTGAGTGTGTTTGTTGCCATGGTGAGGAAAATAGTACAATTCCCCAGTTAATAAAGAGTATCAGGGTGAGGAAGATATTTCTTCCAAGCTCCCACGATTTTCATTTCATTACAGTGGAACTAAAGAGCACTGACAGGCCTGTTGATGCAAAATCTTATGTTAGATGTAGTTCATAATGTCATGCTATTCACTCAGAATATATAGTACTTTCCTTGGAGAAATTATTTAAAATGCTTGCAATGGAGAAACATTTGAAAAGGGACTTCATGTGGTCATTTACTTCCTAAATAAAGAACTGGTATTCTATAGATTTCCATTTTGAGAACTGGACAGTACAGAGTAATATTGCTGCAAAATCCCTTATTAATTCATGCTTTAAAAAATGATTTGTGGCTTTTCTAAAGGAAAATGTCTTCATTTAGCTGTCCCATCTAAACTTGGGTGTGGAAAGCATGAAGAACCTATCTTTCACAAGTACAAAGGGTAATGCATTTTTAGTAATGTATGTGGTTCTGAACAAAAAATCTTTTACTCTTATCCCTTCTCTCTCATTTCTTCTACTTACTTCCATCTCTTCTACTTACTCCTCCTACTCACCCCAACCTCTCTTTACATGCACTTATAGATTCACAAGAGCCAAATGTGTCAGGAATTTTTACTAGAAGACATAGAAGAAAGTAGCTAAGGTTCAATAGTGTAGCTGAATGTCTCCCATGAATTTTTTATTTGTTAGGTAATTCCAAACACCACAGCTGAACCTTGTGTAAGAGGTCATGTCAACTTCACAATCTTTCATTAAAATGGAAACAAATAGAAAACTTTCTTAATTGCATTTTTTTCTACTTATCTAAGTCTAATTTACTATGATGAAATGTACTTTGTTGAGCATTCTATTGTTTCAATAAAGAAATAAAATAAAGAAAAATAATTGTTAAAAACATAGATTAAAGAAAAGTAAGAATATTTGAAAATAGCAAATTTCCAACTTTTAACTCCATTGTTAGGTTGCCAGGTCCTTTATGAACACTGAGATTGTTAGAACTGCAAATAAAGTAGAATAGAATGTTGAAGTGGCTTATGTTGAAGTCTGCTGATAGACAACATAAAGGTATGTTATGTAAGAAATTTTCTGTCTAAATGTAGTTCAAATAACGAAAGAAATGAAAAAAGAAAGATGAATGTATTCAAGACTTTCTTTAGAGGAAAGAAAGTTAGCTTTAAAAATAGATAGTAGACATTTTGTCAAGAAGTTGTGTTAGAATAGGTGCTATTGAGATGGATATGTGGGAAAGTGGAAGAAGTAATAATTGTAGAGCACTCATGCTGTGTTATGCACCTTATACAATTTATCTTGTATAATCATTGTTTATTGTTAGCCTGAGAAGGTGGGTAGCAATGTGCACATTTTCACAAATAAAGGGAGAAAAGAAATCTTTTTCTCAAGCTCCTAGAATAGAACACTTGAAGTCAGGTCCATAGAATGTCATACCTTGTTGTCTGCCCCCTGCTGATAAGGGATGCAAAAGTTTCCAGTATTTTGGAAAAAGGGGCATTGGAAGAGAAATTGTAGAGAGAGCAAATTCATAAATATTGCCTGGTTAATTCCATTTTATTTTCATTTCTCACAAAACAAAATAGATGTTTTGATGGTGACATTACCAGGGAATTTTATGTTTTCAGCTGGATGTTGCAAGTCTTTGTGTGATCATCCTCCAAATCTCACAACATCCCTTCCATTTAATTATAATCTATTGACTGTATTGTTTCATTTTACAGACAATGACAATATTTATTTGCATCCATTAAAAAACATAAATCTGAGCATTTTTAAAGATCACATCAAACTTGAGAGAAAGACTGTACCTCAACAGAGAGAAGAAATAGAAGACATGGACACTGCCTCTTAAGAACATAAAATCTAATTGTTGAGGCAGGTCAAACTAAGAAATATAAATGCATTTGAGACTCATATAATAAAGCACAACACAAATGTAGACTGATAGAAATTTCATTGCAGATAAGGCCCGAAGATCCAGACTGATGATAAGCCTAAAGCTGGTAGAGGACATTCACCACTGGATTCTACCACAGAAGGCTGCAAACACACCTGAGGATTTTTGCTAAAATTACAAAAGTAAGGGATTTGGTAAATTTTGTTTCATAGGCAGTGTATTATCCAATTATAAGTAAGCTGATATTTTTGTTTTCTTTTGAAGTTGTTAGATTCTGGGTAAAAATCACACTCTACAATAAATAGAAGCAATAGCTTCTCGTAGATTTAATATCCACCTCCTATAATAGAACATTTTTACAATAATTGATACTCTCATTCATTTATTCTTTTATTAAAATATATTTATTGCATGTCTGCTGTTTACTAGGCATTGAGTAGGGAACAAAGCATGCTGTTTTCATATTTTAATATTCAATATTATAGATCATAAGAGTCTAAAACAAGAAACAGAGTTTTCCAAAGTTATTTTCAAAGCACTAATTCTGCAAGATGCTCCCCGTCGCTAAAGGGCGCCATGGCCAAATCCATTTGGTAAACATTGCAATGACTGAGAAAACCTATGGGAAAGAAGTCCCTCTGACTTCGTCAAACCCAAAACACTTTTTTTTTTTTTAAACCAAGGAGCATCGATTAATATTCTGTTGCGTGAAACATTCTAGGTGAGATATCAGCTCAGAGCAGGCCTATTTTGGAGTACTAATTCAGTAGGTCAAAGATGTGAGAACAAGTAGGCAGATGCCATGTTCTAGAAGAATTAGCAGAAGAGGAGAAAAATCTTTTTTGTTTCTTTCATTTTTTGAGACAGGGTTTTGCTCTGCTGCCCAAACTGGAATGCAGTGATGTGATCTTGGCTTGCTGAAGCCTCTGCCTCCTGGGATCAAGTAATTCTCCTGCCTCAGCCTCCCAACTAGCCGAGACTACAAGAATGCGCCACCATGCCATGCTAATTTTTGAATTTTTTTGTAGAGATGGGGTTTCACCATGTTTCCCAGGTTGGTCTTGAACTCCTGGGTTCAAGTGATCCTCCTCCCTCAGCCTCCTAAAGTGCTGGGATTATAAGTGTGAGCCACCACTCCCAGCCCGGCAAAGTCTTTTAAGTGTGTTACCACTCTGCCACTAAGAGATCAAGCATATAGTTATTTGGAGTAAAATAAACTATGGTGGAGGACATTGCTCCATAGGCTCTAAAGTCATAGAAACTCCTTCCTTCCTTCCATCTTTCCCTCCCTCCCTCCCTTCCTTCCTTTCTTTCTCTTCTTCCTTCCCTTCCTCCCTCCCCCAGGAAAGATACATACCTATAGGGAGCTATAATCTAGTTACTCATAATGAATTCTTTCCAAGAAGGTACATGAATAGTAAATTTTTTCAGGTTTCCCATATCTAAATATGTCTTATTTTACTTTCACAATTGTAGGATAATTAGGCTGAGGATAGAATTCTAGATTCAAAGTAATGTTCCATCAAAAGGGTTGAATATATTGTTACATTTCTTTCTAGCATCTGGTGTTGGTAATGAGAAATCTGGAATTCTGATTTTTTTTTCTTTTGTTTGTTAATAATTTGTTTCTCTGAAAATTTTTAGAATTTTCTGGGCAACTTTATCTCCCTGTAGTTGTATCTATTTTACAGCTGGATTTTGTTTATTTTAATCTACTATCTTTCACCTTGATCAATATTGTCAGAGTTTTGTGTTATTTACTATTCTAAAAAACAAACAAACAAACAAAAAAACTTAGACTATCCTAAAAGCTAATAAACATGTAAAAAGATACTCAGCGTCATTCAGAATCATAGAATACATTAAATGGAACAGAATTGTAGTTGTTAGAGTACAGAGATCTGGGAGTGAACAAAGGAGAAAGCATTAAATCAAACAAACAATGAAAGGTTTCATTTTTATTAATAAAATAAATAAATAAAATAAATAAAATTTTTATTAATCCTTTCCTCTCTGTTCATTTCCCCACCTCTCTCTCATTTATTTATCTATTTGTTTGCCTGTCTGTCTACCTACCTACCTATCTAAGACAAAAAGATCTCCTTCTCCTCTCCTTTCTATCTTCTAACCCTGCCTCTCTCTCTGTTTTTGTTTCTCTCTCTCAGATCACTATCATTCCAGGGAATCCAGCTACCATGGTGAGTAGCACTACAGAGAGGCCCACGTACCAAAGAATTGAAACCTCTAAACAATACCCATGTAAGTAAGTTTGGAAATGGATTCTTAGTCAGCCTAACCTTAGGATAACTGTGGCCCCAGGCAATAGCTGGACTGGAATCTCATAGAGATTTTGCACCAAAACCACTTAGCTCATCTGCTACCCAATTCCAGGCCCAGAGATACCCTGAGATTTTTTTAAAAAGTTTGAAGATTTAGGCTACGAAGTTTTGGATAATTTGTTACACAGCAGTTTATAAGTAATACATCCAGAAAATCAACTCTTAGGTACATATCCCAGGAATACCTGAACAGGTGCCTGAGCATGTTCCCTGAAGCACTATTTATGGTACAAATAAGATGGAGGCAAATAGATCTTCATCACTATCAGAATAAAATAAGTAAAATATGAAAAATTCAAATAACATAATAAAACCATGCCCAAAGAGTTAAAGAAAATACTAACTAATAGAAATCCTTGAGTTTGCGGGATAGTAGATAAGAAAGCAAACAACTTGTTGAAACGTTGAGACACTATCACTATCTGCTTGTAAGATAACAAAACTGGCTACTCTCAGAACTAATATGGCCAACTGGAGTTATGCAGAATGAGCTTGCAGACATCACATGTTTTATACGAACTCACCCTGAATTTGCACGAGACCCATGAAGAAGCATGAAAAAGTAACTGCACCCAGAAGGAACCTCCAGGCCTCTGCTTTCCTTCCACAAATTACCTATTAATTCTCAGACTCCACCCTCTAAATCTTTTCTAATACAATTATTGCCTTAAAGTCAGCAGGGGGAGACAAATTCGAGCTAGACTCCTGTCTTCTTGGTCGACTTGCAATAAAAAGCTTCTCTTTTCTCAAGAACCTGGTGTGATAATATTGGCTTTTAGTGCATTTGGGCAGCAAGCATCATTTACTTGCTAACAATAATACTGTAATCAAACACTAGATGAAACGAACTAGATTGGACAGATGGATCTTCAAAACACAATAAATTGTGCAAAAAAAGTTACATAAATAATCATTTGTAACAAAATACTTAAGAGATAAAACAAACTTAGAGAGAACAGACATTTAAGTTTAGAAACAATCAGTATATTATTTATTTTATAAGTAATCACAGATATACAAATACAAATATATTTCCTGATTATGAAAGAGAAGAACAAAAAAAAATGTAAGACTAAAATTGAGAAATGAATATGGGATACACAAAGACCTTGGATAATGCCTTCCCATGAACTGAGGAGTATCTAAACTCTCTTCTGTGTAACTGAGGTCCAATAATACTTTAACATAGTACATGAAGATGTGAACCAGTGTTACAAGCTCACTTATAAACATAAATTCGAAAAATTCTGAACAAAAAAATGAGCTGGGTATTAGAATAATAATTGCATAATAGTAAAGAATTGTTTATTCTAAGAATGCAAATCAGTATTAGAAAATATGCTATTTTAATGTATTAACAGAGTAAAGAAAAATATAAGGTAACTAAATTTGATGCATTTGATAAAAGTAAATACTTTAATATTTATCTATCTTTCAATCAGTCTATCTAATAAAGTTTCATATATGGGGCTGGGTGTGGGCTCATGCCTGTAATCTCAGCACTTTGGGAGGCCAAGGTGGGCAGATCACGAGGTTAGGAGATCGAGACCATCCTGGCTAACACAGTGA